ATGAATATTTCCGTGGACAATGGTAATTAATGAACTTATATTGTGGTGTAGTTTTTCTACACCCTTAACTCCACGATTAAAAGATGTTTGAAATAGAGTTTGTTTAGTTTAAGGCAAAGTTGAATAGAGTTAGGTTAAAAACTTGAAAGCCCTAACACATGACACATGCATTTATAGATTATGTCTTCGATAGCCGCATTTTCTTGAGACCACCCCACTTGTACTTGCATGTATTATTTATCCGAGTTGGTCACTTTTTGAGTTGGAAAAGGAATGACTCCATCATACATTCAGCAGGGACTTTGAATACATTAGGCACATTGATTGGCTTCTTATGGAGGGGACCAGACTCATAAACTCTTATGCTTAATTCCCAAGAGATCTTCTCTTTTCCTTTTCTAAACTATCAATCTTCTGCCCATTTTCATTATAGTAGATTTCATTTTAGGTCGTAAAGAACTGAAAAGCTTTTTAATAAATGAAAGGATTTTTGTTGTATTCTTGCTTGATATATACAAAAGAACAAGGAAAATCAAGATTTTTACGTACGAATTTTATGAGAGGAATCTGATATACAAATATAACGTGGAATGATTTCATTCCTTCCCTTTTTTCTTCTTCTATATTTTAAATTACATGATTATCCAACTAGAAGTAAACATGTAGGATTTGCGTAATTTTTAACAAAAGGTGTTTTTGGTAATGAAGAAGTAATTGTTGAAAACCAAACATCCATTTAACCACTCTACGAAAGCAGTAGCAAAATAGCAATATTGGAAGGCAAGTAATGAAAAAAAAAGGGCTAAAATTTCTTCAAGTTCTCATCCATTGATCTAAGTTTGAAGTTTGAAGCAATCATGGTTCCCATGTATTTGAAGAAAGGCATTTTAGGGAAGAGGGTGGTGCATATGATACTCACTGTCTGTACTGTGTTACATGTGCAACACAGCTTATTATCGTGTCACGAGCAGCAAGGTGCGCCACAACTAACTACAACAATTATATAATTAATCAATCCTTAAATTCGATGTGCATGTCCCTTTCACATAACACAAAACCAAGGCCTATCCTAAAACTTCATTTCTTTCCATTAACCATGGATTACCAGCTCTCACAAAATGCACCCACCAAGGCCAAAAATCATAATTTGAGGCCTAATATGCCAACATACACTAACGACTGCTCTTGTTTCTTCTGCATCATGTCTGAAAAAATTCCTCCCCTCAGAAGAGCGAAAATCGCTCGCTACTTAAAACAAATGCCTCTCAGAGACCACCAAGAACACATCCTCGCGTTAAGTGGGTGGTGGAAAATCGCCATAACCAACCCCAACGATCCAGAATTTCCTTCCCTTGGCATCTTCAGATGCATGGCCAAGTTAATTCAAAAGGGAGTCACTCACAAAGATTGGCTCCTTAGGTGTCAGAACATATACATCCCTTATTATGCGGCACATGTCATTGGTTCTTACACCATGAACAAACCCAAGTTTGCTTATAAAGCTGTTAAGTCCAACGTGGTTCGGCCACTGATAGAACTATTACGGGGCAAGATTAGTTGGGTTGAGAAAAGAGTTGCACTTCGCGCACTGGGTCATTTGGCCAGCCATGAAGCAACTTTTGAAGCCGTCGCTGAGCATGAAGCGGAGGTGGTAGAAGCAGCCATTGACATAGCATCCACGGGCCTAGCAGAGGTGTATGAAAAGTTCTTTGGATTGAAGGAATCGGAGAGGTTGCAGTACCATCGGAACTTGCTGACAAGAGGGCATGGAGACTTGGATTTAGAGAACAGAAAGGCAGAAGAATGGGCCAGCCAGCTTCAGTGTTGGGCTCTCTATCTCCTTGATTGTTTTGCACGTAGAGAAAGATCTCTGAAAATAATTTGCAAAAAGAGATTCTTGAAGGACTTGTGTGGAATGTGGGGTGGTTTAGTAAACCCAACATCACCTTCGGGAATAGGGCTTCTAAAAACTCTTTGTAACACCCAGATGGGGAGAGAAAGTGTGGCAGATTTAGAAGAAGTGGTAGTGAATCTTTGTATTGTGTCAAGATCCTCAGATGACAGGCAACACATGGCAATTGATAGTCTTTTGCAACTTCTTAGAGATCCAGTTACAAGATATAAGGTGATAGATACTACTGTTCCAGTTCTTGCTGATTTGGTTGAGCTCGGAAGCATGGGAGGGAAACCCAAAGTGGGGCAAGAAATCATGCAGACCCTCTTGCAGGATTACCACAAAATCAAGTTTTGTGAGCTGAATTTGAAGAGTGGGAGAACCAAGAGAGCATTGACAGAATTATGGGAGATGAAGGTGGAAAGAGTCAAAAGAGAAAGCCTAATGAATGAGGAAGAAATAAGAGAAAAAGAAGTGTTGACTGGTATTTTGAAACGAGAAGGGAATCGAGAATTTGGATCAGGGAACATAGAAAAAGCTGTGGTGAAGTACACAGAGGCTTTGGATCTGTGCCCATTAAAAACTAAGAAAGAGAGAATTGTGCTTCATAGCAATAGAGCACGGTGCCACTTGCTTCTTAGAGATCCAGAAGCTGCACTCAGCGATACCACGCGAGCTCTGTGCTTATCCGATGCGGCGAGAGCGTGTGTTCCAAGCAAGAGTCTGTGGAGAAGATCACAGGCTTATGACATGAAAGGGCTAGCCAAGGAGAGTTTGATGGATTGTTTAACGTTCATTAGCGACCGATTCCGTTCTCGAAAGAGAAGGGGATTCAAGATCCCACACTACGCGGCACAAATGGTAAACAAACAGATGAACGCCACGTGGCTCTTTGCTTCAGCTAAGTCAAGTTGGAATTATACACGCCAAGAACTGAATGAATTTGTGGTCCAAAATAAAATTGATGCTCTCATGGTGAGGAAGAAGATGAGGATGAGGATGAGAAGATGGTAACAGATTTTTGTTGTCCGAAAAACTGGAAATTTATGTTGTTTAATTTCTTGCCTGTGTTTTTTGATAGTGATGGTGTGAAAAGTTCATGCATGCTACTGTTGAATAGTTATTGTACCGAGACTGATAGGTACTCGGTACACTTCTTAGACAGACGTATATTTATGTAGGAAAAGTAATCCTTTCACACTTGCATGATAATCAAGATATATAAAAAAAGAAAATTTAACGTTTTTTTTTTCTTACATTTTTTTATGTCCGAGAATAAGTTAATATATTAATATTTCAGTCATAAATTTTATATTTGAATATAAATTATTAATATATATTATTATATTATTGAAATAGATTGTGAAGTAAATATTTTTTTATATAATATTAAAATATTAATATATTCAATTGTCAATTAGTTTTAAAGAGAGTCCTTCGTTTTATGCTGTTTTCGTTATTATCCCTTTCTATTTATTTTTTTTATTTCAATATTATCCTTTTCTATATATTCTCTTACTTTTTGTTTTTTCACTTTTATCCACTTTGCTTTTAGTCTATGTCGCACAACATACATCAAGTTCGACATAATAGTATAAAGATGTAAAAACTATGTTCTTTAATAAAACAAATCACTTTTATCAAGTTAAAATTTGAAAAATATACCTAAAGACTTCTTTTTAATATTCAAAAAATAACAAAGTTAATTTAAATATTTAGGTGCTTACGCATTCAAATTAATATTCGTAAACACATGACGCCTTGTTTATCACTTTATCATTAACTCACAAAATACCGATACAAACAAAATTCCAAAAAAGGGAAAAAAAAAGAGAGAGGAAGAAGTAGTGAATATTTTATAAAATATGTATGTAATAATACTTTATTGGGTATGCCTTTCAATATATGGCTTCTGTTAAGGTACATCCCTTACGATTCTCATTCATTTTCTTATCTATTTAAGTCAGGTTTGCATACAATTTTTTTTCTTTTTATAAAATGTTAAAATTGTGACCTCATGGTAAATTTTAGTGTTGCACTTTTTGTTTTTAAATAAATCATAATTTATTAAGTTCAACTTTATCTCCAAATACGTTGGAGTTTGCATATAACTCTCTTTTTTTCTATTAAATTTTGATTTTCTTTTAATGTTGTTACTTGTTAGAATTTACAATTTTTTAATATAAAATATATGTTAATAAAAAAATTAAACTTTTAGAAAAACACGTAATTTATTTGGCATTTATTATTAAATATTTCTTTTTGATTTATTATCTGTTCTCGTTTTATTTATTTATAAGGTTGTCAATTCATATAGTTTATTATATTTACTCATCATCCAGTTACAGGCATACTTTACCTTTTTTAAATATATATTTTTAGCAGTAGAATTTAAATTTTTATTGAACATTAAAGAAACTAAAAACACTCATCGATATTTCAGAATGTGGACCTCATGTAGTCTATCTCATCATTTTTTTTTTCTTTTTTGTATTTTCTTAATCATGAAGAGATTTTATATTCTTAAAAAAAATCCAACCATTAATTTTTATACAACCCCATAACTCACAAGAATAATACTGCATTATATCTGAAAATTACACTAATGTTTTGCATAAGAGCTCACTAGCTACTACCACAAAACCTTTTATCAATGTTAGCCACGCACATCTGTCTCAAAGCCCTCACTTGTAAATAACATTTTTTTTTGTTTTTTTATAAACTAGACAATTGCAACCCACACCACATATCATCTTTCTTTTTTTGTTATTAGACTCTATTTTTAGGCCATATTGTCATAAGTAATCTACCACATTATTAGGGAATCAAGTCTTCCCATCCAACGATAGCACGTCTTTAGATGTTATCTACCTTATGACATGTGGTGAGGAGAATGCACACCGAACCAGAACATTAACAATAAATCAGGAAATGAAGTTATGACTAGGAGTGTTTACAAAATGATAAGAATGTAATACTCCTTTCTCGCTTGAATAGTTTAATACTACCTCATTCTCACTAGACCAATTTAATAACGAAAGTACAAACAAACTTATTCGTCTCGAATCTGTTTTCATATATGGGCTGGGCAACCACATAGTGGCTATTAGAATGAAAAGATAAATGGTTATCTAATCATCCAATGCCATAATTTACAAGATTGTACAAAGGTTAACATATATTATTACAATTTAAAAAGCGGCACAAAGATTGAGCCTTAAGAGGAAGATCAGTTAGTAAGGGTCAGCTTTTAATCAATAGTTCTGTTGCATTTTCCGAAGCTTGTGAAAAACCAGCAGTAATGTAGTAGATAGGCGAAACATACTGAAACCTACAAAAAAACACGTAATCCTGTATTGAATTTGCTTTTACAGAGATAGTGAATAGACTATACTGTATATTGGGTAATTATTTATAAACACTACAGGACAAGACCAGAAATTTAAGAAAAAAAGAAATTGAAAAACAGAGCCATTCACTCACCTGGCCGTTATTTCAAGGAGTTCAATCATCAAAAGAGCTCAAGGCAGCAACAACCGACCCTGTTGTTGCAAACGTTGATGCTACGTCATGATAGTCTTTCCATGAGGTTGTTACCTTCAGAGATGGGTATAGCCAACTTTTGACAGAATCCACAAAGGAATTTGGATCCAAGCTCAAAATGGCTTCCCAATCAACCTGCAAACCTTGTGGGATGCTTCCTGTGAACTCCATATTAGCAGCAAGGAACAAACCCAGCATGACTGCAAATCCGACTACAGCAGATCCTCTGGACAGTGGCATAAAGTTATACCTGAAAGAGGAATAAATTTACGGAATGACTTGGACCAAAGATAGAAGAAAAAGATTTACATAATGGCTTCAAATGCGACAAGAGGCTAGACAAGCTATGTATTTTTACAAGGCCCTACCAATAATATGTCATCCTTAAAATTGCATCTCTCACATTTGCGAGCGCATCAAAATCAGTAGACCCATAATTTTCACCACAGTAAGCATTGCAGAGAGCCTGAAAGATATCAAGATGGATACAAGGAAAATTGTCAGATTTCATCTACTAGAAAAATAAATAAACAGGTATTCATGTGAGACTTTAAATAATGAAACATAGTGTCAGCAGATTTCTAAACAATTCCAACGAAAGCATCAACCACGTTTTAATGATAAAAGGGACATGGATCCTTGGTAAAGACTAAAACAGACATCCTTTACAGGAGCTAGAGTGGGGATGAATTGAATTTTAAAAATCCAATAAAGTAGATTAAATTTGAAATTCAGGTCCATTTAGTTATATCAAGTTGATTTGAATTTTTTAATCTAGTTTGAATTTGAATTTATATTTGATTAAATTTGGCATTAAAACCAAGGCTATTTATATAATAAATTCAGTTTTATTTGAACTAATTTAGTTGTTATATTTATTTACTAAATAATTAAGATATCTCTCAAAATTAAATTATTAATTTTGAGGGAGTGACCATTTACAGTGTCTAATAACACTGGATCAAAATAATGATAGTCGTAATCCTTGATTCTAGTTGAAGTTTTTCCCTTTTTTTGTATTACTTTTTCTTACTGCAAAATTATTTTTACTTATAAATATTTTTCTGACTTTTTTTTATCATATGACAATATATACACCTACGTATTTGTAATATACTGTCTTATTGTTGAAATTTTTTCTTTTCTATAAATATTAGTCTTCCAAAAACAAAAACAATTTGTGATAAACAAGACCCATTGCCCTTTTTAGGCTCGCTGGCCTAGTTAGGTTTATTGACTTGTTTGTAGGTCTTCCTATAAATTAGGCCACGTAAACAGGATTTTACGTAATATCAGACTTTTAAATAGGCCATACTTAAGCTTTAAAAGGGACTTGTAATAGGTAACTAAGGCCAATGATGTACTGGCCCAGGCGGAAGATGTCCCAACCAGATGCTCCAACCAAAGTTGAGCCGAGGACACCTAGGCCGAATCTAAGCCAAGGATGCCCCCATCCAAGACTGACCAAACAGCACCCCAACATACCAATCAATTTTTTTGACAAACATTGATTTTGGAATTGAATAACTGGATTTCTTGCACGACCGGTATTAGAAGCAATCCACATAAAGAGGCCCCATAGGGTCATAAAGAGGCCTGATAGGGTCATATATATATATATATAGATAGGTTTGCTAACTTGCATACGCTCTTTTTTCAGTTGGTACATTTTAGCAATGTGTACCGGATTTTAGTAGACAAAAATATACTCATATATTATGAATTCTAAGTTTTAAGGTTAATGGTATTTGAATAATTTTCATTCTCAAAACTAAAAAAAACAAGAAACCCCCAAACCCTTACTCACCTCCGTCATTCCTCTCAACCTTTCCTCTTTCATCTCTCTCACTCTAACATTTTCTCCGTCATCCCACTGTAGTCCAAACTGAAAAAAATCTCTCACTCTAACATTTTCTCCGTCATCCCACTGTATTCCTAACTGAAAAAAATCTGAAACACTCGTTAAACAATTTGCTTTTGTAAAGAGTTGAGTCATTAGCATATTTGGCTTCAAGCAAAGTTTATTCAAGATCTCTTCAATTTCATTATCTTCACTAACCTCTCTAATTTCATCATCTGCGGATGTTGAATCATCATCTCTACAAAAACCCACCAGGTCAATTACCTATTCCTTTGAGCTTGTGAAAATTAGATAAGACAAAAATTATAAAATGAAAACTCATTACAAAATCATTTTTTTGTAAGAAATTGTTTAACAGCGAGTGTTTTTGATTTTTTCCAGACCAATTACCAATTCCTTCGGATGTCGTTATACTTGTGAAAATTAGATAAGACAAAAATTATAAAACGAAAACTCATTGTAAAATCATTTTTTGTAAGAAATTGTTTAACAAAGAGTGTTTCTAATTTTTTCAGTTGGGACTACCGTAGGATGACAGAGAAAATGTTGGAGAGAGAGATATGAAAGAAAAAGGGTTGAGAGGGATGAGGGAGGTGAGTAAGAGTTTGGGGGTTTCTTGTTTTTTTTAGTTTTGAGAATGAAAATTATTCAAATACCCTCGACTTAAAAACTTAGAATCCATAATATATGAGGATATTTTTGTCTACTAAAACTCGGTACACATTGCTAAAATGTACCAACTAAAAAGAAAAGGATACGCAAGTTAACAAACCCCTACATACATATATACATATATGTACCTACATACATATACATATATATATATATATATATATATATATATATATATATATATAATATAACCCCTTATCT